GCCTTTCGGTTGGTTTGGGGCGGCCCGCTAGCTCTCCCGGCGGTCCCGGGTCTTTTTTCACAGAAATAGAGAAATACTTGCGGGGAAAGGTCTGCAAAGGCTCAGCTCAGGTCAGTTGCTTTAGGCAGCATAATTGTTTCCCACAACGTACTCCAAATCCCCTCAGCAGGGGCCGCGTCTGGCGCTGAAGAAGTCCTGCGGAAAGTCGCCGTGGGCTGGAGGGCCCCCCGACGAAGGCAGTGTGCCATGCCATCCCGCGCCCCGGGCTGTCCCATGGCCCGTGCGGCCAGCTGCCCAGGGCCCCAGCACGTGGGGCCTGCCCTCTGCCCTCGTGTCACGGCTGTGGAAATACGCCCGCCCCTCAGCAAGGTCTGTAACGGAGGATGGGTGGTTTGAACTTGGGATATGCTGCTTTGGAGGAGCTTAACTGAGGTGAAACAGGGAGTCTCTCAGTGTTACAGTATACTGGAGTGATATGCTGAGCACATTGTCTTGGAGGATGAGGTCAAGAAGTCTTAAAAGGATGGAAGCTTTGCTGGTGCCTGGTCTTTTGGAGGCCTCCGTGAGCACGTGGGGTGTAGTCAAGAACATCCTGCGGAGAGCCTCTCCTTGCACCTCGCACGCAGAGGAGGCCTGCCGGCAGAGTAGCCTCCTTAAAGGATGCACACTTTGGCTATGTCGAGTGCAAGGGGATTTCAGGTAAATACCATCGTGTGTGCAGACAGAGAAGCTATGTCGTAGTCAGTCCTCATCTGTCCTTTACTATACCAAAATTACAGTTTGGATTGGTAACAAGCAGGCACAGTCCATCTGAAAGAAAGGTGAAAGTCCAACTATGTTTAGGAGGATACTTCCCTATGTGCCAGGCTGCATACTTGTGCTGCTTGTAGCAGGTTTTTGTCATTAAATTTGTGGTTGACAGTTACTGAAATACAATTCCTTGGACTATAGTTTTTACTCTGTATCTGTTTGCTGCTCAGACCTCCCTGTAAGAGTGTATTTACCTGGTGGTCCTACCCTTCTCATTTCTGACCTGGTTACAAGTCTGTGATCTGTGACAACTTGAAGTTTGCAGATGTTGGTGCATAAAAGCAGTAGTAAGAGCTGCACTGAAAGCTGACCAAAAGCAAGTTGCCAGGTGCAGCTGCATGTGTTTGTGTGATTTAATTTTCGTAAGGGCTATTTTAGTGAATATCTCCCAAGTATGGGGTTTGTCTTTTTCCTTACCATAATCTTTAAGGTCCTTAAAAGGATATGGCATAATTAGTATATGTAGTAAAGTACATTCTCGTAAGGCAAAAAATGAACTCATCAAAATGCTAGTAAAATCTGAGGGGCATAGCTCCTCCTTCCTGTGCTGCCGGCAGTCTGCTGGGTAATGTTGGGCCGGTTACAACCAGTCCTGCATTTGCCACCGTTTAATCAGGAGAGGTATGTAGACCTTTGTAAATCTCATTAGATCTTTTTGTCTGTTGATCTTGAGGTTATACTCTAGGAAATGCCAGACTGGGGCCCAAATTTGATCTATTCCATCTGTAATGAGGAGGTGACTTTGTGGGCCTTTCAGAGCATGTTACGCTGGTATCAGCCGCCAGCAGCGGGTCATACTCCTTGTGCAAATAGGCTTCAACATGCTTTGCCATTTTCTCCCTATATCTGCCGTTCAGAGATTAATTTTGGTTGAGAGTTAAGGAAACCATGCTGACCTCGTATAAGGTGTGCCATCACTTTCTGCTGTGGGGTTGTAAATGTGTATTTGCTTCCCCTTTGCAGGGACTCGCAGGATGTGGGTGGTAAAATTCTGCGCGTGCTTACAAAACTGTTAGAAGGAAGTAGTAGCTGGGAGGGGCTGAGTAAAAGCAGTAAGGGTTGTAATGGTGCTCTGAGCACGTTTGCTAAGGTGCATCTGCTGCTGTCTTCCCCTCTACTCTACGTCCTAGCCCCTGCGGGCCTTGAACTGTGAGAGACTAGCAAGTGGTTTACTTTGAGGGGCAGATAACTCCACAGCTATCTACTGACAAGTTTCCCGTACTTCCCTGTGAAAGCTGTTGATACTAGTCATTACTGGAAGGAGGCAATTACCTTTAGTACTTCCTAAATCCATTAGTTTAATGTAATTAAAAGTAATAATTATTCTTCCACCAGTATCTGTAAAATGATGGGTGGATTTGCATGTGTGAAAGCAGGAATTTAGAATAGGAATTAAAAGATTCAGGCCTTTTGCCTGTGAAGAGGGAACTAAGGTTGTGTAACAATCATCCTGTTGTTGGGTTAGTTGTAGTGTGTGAAAACTATTATCATATTTCAACAGCAGTTTTCTTTTGTTAAAAGTGTTGTTCTCAAAGCTATTTGTAAACATTGTGCATGGTGCTATCTTCTGGGATAAAACACAATCTGTGCAGATATAGTCAGCATTTAAATTACACCTGTATTTATCTTTTAATTACCTTAATCCAGCAATTACACCTGGAAGAAAGAGAGCATTCAGCAGCAGAATTGTCTCCTGGAAATCTGCCTAAATAATAACTTTTAAACATCGTTATTTCATGTCTTGTAGAATTGAGATACCTCATGAGAATCTGTAGGGACTTAAACTTTAAGAGCTAGCTTTGAGAAACGCAACTGATCAAACCATCGACCATTGAAGTCAAAGTTTTACAATAGAAAGGTTCAGCTAAAAGAAGCTATTTGAAGGTGATAATGACCCAATATAATGTTGTTTGTTGCAAACATAACAAAGGAAAGTTTATTGCCTTGCTGAATATAAGGTTTCATATGAGAATGTCACTTAACTGTAATACATAAGCCTAATTCTCGTTATGAGAAGAACAGATGGCTGAGTATTGGAGTAAGATATCTAGTTGTTCAGCGTTATTGAGTAGCATAATTTGCAGGTACTTTGAGAGAAATCAAAACCTAGATGCAGTGCTGCCATTTCAGTAGTTACACAGCAAAGCTCAATTCCCAGATTCTTATCTTGTGGTATTTTGGTTACTGTTTTATAAGTTGGTTTAAACAGATATGGTGGGTTACTGTATTTTAAAAAAAATACAGAATTGCTGATTAAGGTGATCAAATTGCTGATCAATTTTTGCTTTAAGGCTGACAGTCTCATCTCCAGTATTCTTATAGATATTTTTTCCCCTAGCTACCTCTGTTACCACAGTCCATCTTTATTTCTCACTGAAAAATGTCTTGTGTGAGATACTGACTGCCGTTTTCCATGTTCTGATCAAGAGAGCCGTGTTATCCTTACCCCTTTCCTTGCTTCTCACCTGCTCTGCGTTTCCCCCTTGTAAGGGCTTTACAGCAGGTGACAAAACAGCCCCTCTCTCCTCGGGGCGCTGTCCGCACCGCTGACTGCCGTGTTGACTTGCTGCACGGCAGCATATACCTCCCCAGCGTGGCTTTGAGCAAGCTCTCTTGAGTAGCAGAAGCAGCCTAGAATAGGCTGAGTTATCCCAGTCGGTGAGATAGGAAGGGCTGCTCTGGCTGTGCTCTTCTGCCTGCCTGAGTATACCAGCACAGGTAGCTGAGTCTGTAGCATAGCTGTGCTGCTGCCAGCGTTGAAGAGGCAGAAGAAGTCATCGTGCTTTTTCTCCTGACGCACCTGTTAACCTGCAGTGCGGGTTTACTGTTGAATCTGAGCATTTCCTGCCAGGGAAGGAGGACAGAGAGAGTAGGGACTCTTGTCAACTGTGGCAGCTTTCGTTGCTGAACACCCAGGAAGGGTTCCAAGACTTTTGCTCTCTCCATGTGGATCTTACCTTAGTGACCTAAACTTTAAGACTATGTACATATGAGAAGGTTTGGCGGAACAGATATTTTGTAATAATGCTTGTATTTTGGAATAATGCTACCATTTTTAAGGGTTTTTTTTTTTTCCCCATTTGCTGGTTTGAAGTTAAGGTAAGCTAATTTCAGAACAGCTTATTTGGACCAACCTTTCATTCTGTTAGTTGCGTTGGGTGTTGTTTCCAAACACTAAGGTGACTAGCAGGCTGGTCATGGCCTTTTCCTTAACACAGCTAGAGAAAGTGCAAAGGTAAGCAATTATGGTAAAAATCCTTTTGGCCACCTGTTAATTTGACAAAAGAAATTGATTTCAGTTGGGCATCTGGGTAGGCTTTGAAAACAGTCATCACTGGCTTAAAACTGCTTCCTTTGAAGTTAATGGTCGTGTCAGCTGAGCACCATTAGAAAAATCCCATGAGCAAAAGATTGATCCTTTGTTGCTTCTGTGGTGTGTGATGTTTCCTTTGCCTTTAAAGCAGACCTGGAGGAAGAATTTTTTGCTGCTTTGTTTTCCCA